GGGAATACAATACCTCCAAAAGTTTAAAAGCTATTAATTGTCACATACCTTTACTTTTACTTATTTCCTAAACTATTCCTCTCCTTGTTAATCTGCTTAATAGTATTGGTCTGCCTGCGTTTTCTTGTTAATGTTCAAACCTAAATAAGAAGATTTATTCTACAACTTTAAAGGTTAGTTGCCTCCTAAGCGGACCCCCCGCATCATAATTCTTTTGTTAATCTACTTAATGTCATTAGACTTTCTGAAGTTTCTTATTTAGGTTCATTTGATGATTATGATCAGGGGTTGAAACTGTTGACGTTTTTCACTACACTCGCTTCGTTGTCGTGCGCGACAGTCTGTTTGTATTCGTACTCTCATGCTCTACCGTCGTCTTTTTTACACAACACAAACGGTAGAACAACATTCGAGCAAAAATAAAATTATCAAATAACTATCATATGACATGTGTGATTTCGTTCTAATTCCTCAATTTGGTGTAAATTAAACCATTCTTGATCAGAAATGTTATTACTAGGACATCGTGGCTTGCTATTTTCAGAATTCACACAAGCACAACATCAGCAGTTCTTATTATGATAAACACTAAAATACATACATTCGTGACAGTCTTCGGCGACAGTGTCGTATGACAGACCCTTTCATATGACATTTTAGTTTGGTACTGTAATTTGAAAGCTTGTTTTGCAAATGTCGGAAGCAAAGGCAGTCGATTATCACAGAAAATGTGTCGACAACGGTGACCGCTTACAAGACTGATTATGATATCTCATTAGTCTAATTTAATAAATTATTAAAAGCTCTAATTCACCTACAGTATGACCCATAAAAAAATGCGACATTGATTACAGCTTATTTTTGGGTTTATTTTAAAACTGTTTTTACCACTATTTTATATGCGTGTATTCGTTAGAATCTCTACTGTCAAGTGATGTAAACAAAACAGTGATTTTCGTTTTAAAAGTTTGCAAAAATGTACGCAAAAGAAATTGTTACCAGTTTGCTTCTCGCCCAAAAGTCAGTGAAAGAGATAACAAAGATCGTAGGATGCCACCGGTCCACTGTTCATCGAATTAAACGTTCTCTCCTTGCTGGACCACATCCACGGAAGCCAGGAAGTGGACGTCCGCGATCGGCACGCACTCCAGGGGTCATCAGATCGGTCAAAAGAAAAATAACGGTGAATCCGGTAAGATCGATCCGGAAATTGGCAAAACAAGCCAATATCTCCAACACCTCGATGCAACGGTTGGTCAAAGATGACTTGAAGGCTTCGTCTAGGGCTAGAGTGAAGCGCCACCTGATAAAGAACCGGATTAAGGGACTGCGGCTTGAGAGATCTAAGCGGCTTCTCTCCATCTTGAAGAAGAAAAAACCAATAATCGTGTTCTCTGACGAAAAACTTTTCAACATCGATCCGGTGTCCAACACGCGCACTGACCGGTTTATTTCGCAGAAGAAGATCGAGGAGGTTCCTGAGAACATAAAATTTAAGTTTACCACCAAGCATCCTGCAGGAGTTATGGTTTTCGGAGCAGTCGCGTCCAACGGCTTGAAAATGCCTCCGGTATTCATCAAAGAGGGTCTAAAAGTGAATACGGAGGTCTACATCGGCATTTTGAAGGACCATCTGATGCCATGGATTAAGGTCAACTTTGGAGAAGACCAATTAGTCGTTTTCCAGCAGGATGGAGCGCCCTGCCATACTTCTAACAGGACCCAAGCTTGGCTCACCGAGAACCTGAATTTTTGGTCGAAGGAGCTTTGGCCCCCCAGCAGCCCGGACTTGAATCCATTGGATTATTCAATATGGGCCTATGTTCAGGCTAAGGCCTGTGAAACCCCCCATCCCAGTGTGGATTCGCTCAAGTCATCCATTCGCAAGGCATGGAACTCGATGCCAGCGTCATATATTACGACCGTGTGTTCCAGATTTCGACCCCGCCTGGAGCAGGTGATCGAGAACCAGGGAGGACACATTGAATAAATGTATTCAAAACATGTCAAATAAACATGGGAAAGCAAAAATATATTTGTTTCAATCAGCAGTTTAGAAGGAATCACATTTAATTGGAAAAAATGTCCCATGTCGCATTTTTTTATGGGTCATACTGTAATCAATCATAACCCATGCTTTATAAAGTACCTGCACTTGTGCTTGTAATCTAAAATTAAACGTGTTTCAAGTACTTTTGATTTAAGCCTATACCTATTTATTATATCTTAGTTCGACCCAGGTAACACCTTCATGTGACTAAAATGCTTCATTTTGAAGTTAGTTTCCTAGCTGATATTTACATTATATAGGGTATATGTTCCAATTACGCTCTCACGTTTCCACTATGTCGCACCACAAAAATACATATGGGTATGTCACAATAGAAGCACACCACAGTGGAAATCCCGAGCCATAGTTCAAACACTTATCCCAAATCAAAATGAAGCACATATAAGATTATTTACAATACCATGTCCAAAATGGTGTTTAACATTGTTCCCTGAGTAATACCTCAATGAAAACAACAATGAAAGCTTGTCACGCAAATAGAAGGAGCACCGATGGGCACTTTCTGAAATACTTCAATAGTATAATTCCCTTGCAAACCCAAATAAATCTATCGTAAAAAATAAATAAAATAAGAGTGATTTGCGGCAAAACCCGCCAGTATCACACCCAACGTCAGTGCCTATACGTAAGCGTACTACGACGCGGCTCTCAATAAAAGGAGTAACAAGTGTGATACTATCACTGCTAGACTAGATCTTTGGTTCTCTCATGCAGTGGTTTATCAGAGAGGGGAAGCTTAGTAATCCCCATTGCCTGCCCATGACGCCATTCTATCGCGGCATGAGTCAGCAACGCCGACCATAAACCTACCGTCTCCAACACTCCACTAGCATGAAATTAAGCCCGCCCACCAACAGCAAGGTGCAAAAACTAGCCAAGGGGAGGGCATAATTTATGCTCTTCTAGGACTTTAATCAGAAACATTATCATACAGTTTATCACGTATCGATTAGGAGAAAAAAAGAACCCATTCATCGCCCCGCTTTTCTTTTCCGAACGATGAAAATGGAACATCGCTTGAACACACAAAATCAATTCACGACAGCATTATGCCGGCAACTGAAAGAGTGCAGTCAAGAGCAAATGACAGGAATATGATCGTTAACAACAGGAAAAAAAGGACATCGACGACGCTTTGAGATGAAGATGGAAAGGTGAAAAGACAAGAAGGGAGAAAATCAAGATTTCATCACGCGATAGGACCGGGTCATTACGTAATTGCCTTTTTTCTCCATAGGCTACCATCATGGCGTGATGGCAACGGTCTACTGTACAGTACGAACCCATAACATCGAGTCTTGAAAAAAGGTGCCTAATAAAGTCATTTCTTGGTACAGACCCAAGGAATGACAGGCGGTAGCCGTGAAGTTCGGAGATCAAAGCCATCTGATAAAATGTGTCCCCTTGTCCGCGTCCCAATCAGTCATACTTTCCGGACGATTGATGCCCGACTTGGATTTTTGCTCATTTAGTTTATTCCTGATTGTATTGCAAAATAAAAAAAATCACGAAGCGAAAGGGTTACTCCTACGCTACTTGGCGACAGCAACTTTTAATTGAACGTGAATCAAAATTGAAATTTTTCAAAGACAACCAAATTAGCAGTCTATCCCACAGTCTACACAGGCGTCAATCAAATAAGAGGAAGGAGCTACTGGTCGTTGCCGAGAGACGTGACACAACTGCAAATTAAATGGTCTGATCCTAGGAAGGGTAATTACAAAATAAAAGTCCTCCCTGGCTGGATTAGAAGCATCGGATGTTCGGGATGTTTCCAAGGCAGCAATTCACGTTGCCTGGAGCTTTTATTTGGAATCCGTGCTGCCCCTGGGATATTTTTTAGAATGTTGAATCAAATTTGCATTTTAACAGATTTTAACATATCATGAAACAAATCTTCGGACGGGTTTCTTAGCTGTATGGATTCCAGTTCCGTACGGTATCTGCAGTCTTATCACAATTCCGGAGAACTTTGAGATTAAGGCGTAATTGCTTTTGTAAACAAACACTTCATTTGACGATTTCTTGCGAATTAAAGCTCAATCTAAAAAAAATAACAACACAAACAGGTAAATGAATGGTTTCTCTATCATTTGGTATAGTTTGTTCACAAGATTGTTCTTTTATTCGCGAGAAATCAGCGATTGACATGTTTGTTTACAAAATGAATTGCGCCCAAATCTCAAAGTTCTCCGGAATTGCGCAATTGAATGTTAATTGCAACAAGATTTACTTGCAAAGTTTCCCATTATATTTCAAACGGGATCGAATTTCAATCCCAACAAAACATAATGAACGCAAACAATATCTTCCCACCTTCCAATCGAAATTCTCCTATAGGGGGTCTTACGCAACCAGTTTCCGGTCAACCAATACTTATTCTTTAATAATTGTTAAGATTATGCAACCAGGGATCAAAAACCTTGATACATTGTTCTCGCTTGCAAATCCGCCCCGCACAGCAGCAGCAAAATATCTGCAATGTTATCATTACTTTAATTAGCATATGTTGCAATTTATCTACCACAAAAGCAGGATCCATTCTTTGTGGAAAATTTGCACACATTTCCGGCTCCCCTAACTCTTTGTCCTATTGTTAGCTGCTGCGGTTTCGTGCTTCAACCATATGCTTCTCTGTTTCATCACCACCACCGTCATCACCGCGGAATAATAGTGTAGGGACGATGGATCTTCATCTTACATCTCGTTTCGGTTAGAAGTAAATCAGGATGTGGCTAAGGAAGTGCATTGCTCTTGAAAAGTGCATTGTTCAACTGGCTGGTTGCAGCGTTCAGAGCGCTCGCAGTACATTCCAACCTTTGACCGGTAAGTGTTGGGTCATTTCATGGAATTTTCGATGTGGGAATCTTTACTTGACGGACAAAGACCTTCGGTTTATGCAATATGTAGATTGATGAATAAACAGACGTTTGAATAATCGCATGCATACATAATCTTAATTTTTAAATCATATATAAATCTAGGGGGCACACAAGTGGAAGCCTCAACTGGAAATATCGCCACATATAAACATACACTAAATTGTCTTCTATCATCCTAAAACGTAATCATCGGGTAGAATCTTGCGCTAAACATGCATAAATCTCAATAACTAAAATGTCTTTATCTGCTCCCATTTCAAAGAAGTGATTCAGCATTTTCAACTTCCTTAACTATGAGACTATTATAATACGCACTACACTATAATAACGATCAATATTGTTCTAGAAAGGTTCGATTAAAATAAATCTCTAAACATTTAGTCCCATAGCTGAGGCTTCCATCATTCCTATTTTCAATTGAATTATCTCTTATCTAATAATAACATCAATGGTACCATTTAATAAACGCTCATCCTAGGAATCGAAAAGGATAGACAAATTAACGAATCGTAGATGACTCCTACTACACAATGGTGAATAAACGTTCAACGTGTCATGAAAAAATAACGAAAATGATTAGGAAAATGTTAAAAACGAACAACAGTCGACAGCGATCCAATCGAGATATAAATTAACCGCTCCCGAGAGCAATTATACGAAGTGTGAAGATATCCTCTTCTGTCGGCATGTCCTAGTTCCTTTTCGTAAGCGCACGCAAATAGGGTCCCATCCGTGGTTTAAATCTTTTTAGACTTATCAAAATCGAAGGAAAAGGATGAGCTCTTCGTCAGTGATAGGACATACGGTGTCAGTATGACCGGCAGCTTGTTGTACGTTTTCAGCTCCGGCAGTGGAATATTGAGCTAAAGGAGTGAGTGGGATTGACATTTAGGAGAGAGTTGTCCTTTCGTCGTGATTGATTGAAATGAAGGTGTGCTTCTACTTACGAGCTCGGTGGAAGATGTTGATGGCTCCTTTTCGGTCGGGATCGGCTCGTTGGACCAAATCGGATCAATCCAATATGGGATATTCTGGGAAGAGATAAAGATGACCAGTTGTGTTTAAAATGGATGGTATGTTAATGTTATTTTTAAATAATTGCTTTTATGCTGTCCATGACAACCTAATACACGCTCTTTAAAATAACCAAACGAACAATTTGAGCTGGAAACTGTTGATTAAGCTACTTTTTAGCTAGAAAAGCATATTTTTGTCTGAATAAGGTCTTATTTAACTTTCAATGTTTGTTGGAAATGCAAATAAAAATCCCACAGTTTGATATGAAATTACCAACAATCCTGTCTGTTGAGAAGTAGTTAATCAATCGGAATATGTCACACATTATTGAACAGTGACAACTGACTTCTCAGATGAATCTATTTAGGAAATATTTGTTGATGGTGATACTTTAATAAAGTGTAGCAATAAATAGCAAAAATATAGGATGGGTGTACCAGTTATGGTAATACGCTCCTATTATGGTCTGTTACAAGTATGACCTATGGGATTCCAATATGCCATAATTGGAACACACCGTAATAGGAACGTGTAGTCATAACTGGTGCATCACCCTAACATATGTTTTTTTTTTTCATTTTATAAAATGCGTTCAATTCAAATATTGAACGCTGCAACAATAGGCACTCTTATTCATCATAAGAAACAACAAAAATTAAGAACTGATTAAAGGGTGTCCACAGTTAAATTGCATAACTTTCAGAAAGCTGCCATTTGGGTTAATTTAAAGAAATTTTGGGTGAGATGGTCTCAGCGTGTATTGTTTACACTGCGTGAGTTTCATTGTACACAATTTCTGCAGGGTTCGTGCGGTATTTTTGCACTGAATCCAATATGAATATCTCATACTTGTGCTGCATTATTAAAATAATTTTGGCACCACTGCACAGTGGTCTAGCATGCAGATTTAGGTGGAAGGATATGTTTTGAGCCTGAAATTGAAACTTTAGACTAAAAGTCTCTTATACAAAGTTGTTCCTTATAGTTAGACCCTCATTTTTATAAAAATGAATTCAAGGGTGGTTCTTATTATCATTAAATTTAAAAATCTAACTGTTTCGTTTGAGAAGGGCATACTTTTAGTAGTAAATGACAATAACTCTTGATCGGCGAAAGATATCGACAAGGTTTCTTCTTCTTCTTCTTCGCATTTCAAGCTTATTGCATATCGCATATTAGCTTATGGCGTGCTCTCAACTTAGTGTTCTTGATGCACTTCCACAGTTATTAATTAAGAGCTTTCGATGCCTGTACAATTTTTGCATTGATATGATTGTGTGGCAAGTCTAATCATACTTCTATGCCCAGGGAAGTCGAGAAATTTTCCAACCCGAAAAATTCCTAGACCGGACCGGGAATCGAAACCAGCCACCTCCAGCATGGTCTTGCTTTGTAGCTGTGCCTTTACCGACTGAGCTAAAGGAGGCCCGCATCGACAAGGTCTGTGCATCAAAAATATGCACCTTCTAAAGATCTAAAAGTTATTTCAAGACACTTTTGCTGAGAAATTTGAATAAAAAAACTACTGTTTTTAAGAGACACCCTAACTCAATTGGAGAGTTAGGAGTAGCACTAAATCGGTCAATTTAAGGTATACATATTTTTTTTACAAATTTGCTTGAAATTAGCTCAGCTATAACTTTGCCCAAGAATGCATACCTTAATTTTTTCAAACAAAAAGTGAGATTTTTTATTTTAATAATAATAATAAGTACCACCCTAGAATTCATTGTCATAAAAATGAAGGCTTAATTCATGACAAATTTTCATTATGTCGTAAGTAACATTCGCACTAAGCCAAGAAAAATAAAGTTTTGTTTTGTTGACCGAAAAGTTATTGCTATTTACAATTAAACACACGTAATCTCATAATGATAGCAATGTTTAATAAGAGATGAACTAGCCCCAGGCTAAAAATCTCTATAATAAAGACTAAAAAAAAAAAAAAAAAAAAGCAATGTTTAACATATTTGGCAGGGTTTTAATCATACAAATGCAAATCGCTAGATTTCATGCTAAAAAATACTGGTTTTTGAGTCAAAAGTTATTATACGTCGTTTGGTGGCCCTATTGTTACTTAAGTCAAAGTGTATTTACCAGGATATTCGGGAGAATTATCAATTACGTCTCCTTACGTGCAGCCCATTCATCATTTTAGGACCACCGAAATCATCTTAGCAACAAACAGTTCGATTTATTCACTTTAATAATGAGAAAGTGGAACGACGAACGTACACTTTTCACGGGTTTCTCAGCGCTGGTACTTTAGTCAAACGGCTTCTCCATAAAAATCGGATGCCTTAAGTAACATCGAAAACTATTTTGATCGGAAGGTGATTACGTCAAAAAGCAATTTGACTGGTGATTAAATTAAAAAATGGAATGTGATCCTATATTCGGACAGTATATAGTGTAATAGCAGGAGAATCGATTGACACTGATAGCTCGACTTTGTTTACCTTTGTTACTTTCGACGTAATGAAAATTTGCTCTTGAAGTATAAGGAACAACTTTGTAGAAGAGACCTTCAGTCTAAAGTTTCAATTTCAGACTCAAAACATATCCTTCCACCTAAATCTGCATTCTGGACCACTGTGCACGGGATAGCTAATGCTTCTAATGTCTGAGAAAAGTAAACAACATTCTATAAATAAAAAAAATGTGTACGCAAGACCACACTCATTCGTCAGTAACTGTTGTGAATTACCTTCATGCCAGAATTTTTTTTTTTTCTTTGATGAAAAAAATTTCAATAGACTTCTCTGACGTTTATGAGTTGCACACGTATTAGTGCAGAACTTTGGGTGAATTCAAAGGTTTTCTTGAACTAATACTTATAATAGCTTATAATTTACCCCAAGTTCTGCACTAATACTTGTGCATTTCACAAACGTCGGAGAAGTCCATGAGGATCAAAAAAATAACCGGAAAAACAGATGGCTAGCGGCTACAATGACATTTATATAAGGTCTGGGCCAACAGTCAGCTTGCTGGTGTTAGAAGCAAAAATGTTGTAAACATTGCTGAACATCTGCGAATAGATAGATATACGTCACTGCCAACATACTGAGAACACATAGAAATACGTCACTGCCAACAGCTGTTTCGTGTAAAAAGATAAACATTGCAATGTAATACGAACACCACTATCCATTTGCACATTTCACCAACAATAATAAGCTCTTTGGTCCAGACCTTATATAAACGTCATTGTAGCGGCTAGACGTAATGAAGTTTAAATCATCATGTCAACCAAGTTTCCGACGTACACGATGGTTTTTTTTCCTTGATTTGTTTTCCGTCGATCTTGTTTTCCGTTCTGAGCACCAATGCTCTGACGCCAGGGAGGCAGCTCTCACACCTGGACCCTACCTATCAACCCATCAACCCATCAACTCATGATCCGGTGACCAACGGCTTTACTTCCCTTCCGAAGGAAGGCGTGATTAGAGATGATACAAACTAACTTTAGATTACTGGAGTCAGTAAATTTTTACTGGGTTTTTGAATTGCGGATCGCTCAGTAATCATCACAGCAATAATGTGCAGTACCGAACTGTCCGTAAAGTCAATCTGTCAAAAATAACTGTTCATTCAGTAAATGGTTCGAGTTGCGTCCAGCAATGTTAACTGGAAAGCCCAGTATTTTTTTGTTTATTTTGCTGTAGTTTAACTGACTAGACAGTTATTTTGTTCATTCTTGTACCGTTTTACCCAGTTTCACACTCATTTTAGTTTACCGAAGTCAGTAAAATTTTACTGGGTTTTTGAACTGCGGACCACCCAGTTATTAGATCGGTTGCAATTTTGAATACCGAACTTCCAGTAGCAGCAAAATGGAAATGAAACGTTAAAGAATACTATATGTTCAGTAATGCATATAAAACCATTATCGGGGAATCAACCGATGAGCTCAGTACATATGATCAAAATAATGTCTGATTGCAGCAGCATAAAATTCATCAAACGCTTTCAATATGGCTCATGATCAATAATGTTGTTTCGAAATTCTACAATACTTTTAACTACATACGGTATCATTTGGCGTACAGAACGAACATCGTCTATTTGAACAAAAACTAATGAGAATACAAAACATCATCTATACATTAGTTACTTACCTGAGTTCGATCAGTTTCCTATGTAAAAGTCAACTGTACATAATTACGTGGCAGCACTTTATTTGCCCAAACTATCCAAGCATTGTGTCTTGTGTCAAAGTGCACTGTTCATGATCAGTTATATGCACATCAACATTGATGAGGATTCAGTAAATACTATATAAAACTGTTTCTTCGGTAATATTTTGTACAGAAAATAGTCCAGTTCAGTAAACATATTACTTTACCATTTAATTCGTAAAAATACTTGCAGTACACAGTATTATTTAGGCAACTTAACTGATATTCAGTTATTAAATACCGATTGTCGGTTTCAAGTCACGTCTGAACTGATGTTTCAGCTATAATTTTGCTTTACAAACCAGAGTCAGTAAAATTAATTACCGAACACCTAAATCCTGAATGAGTGTGTACACACTTAGAAATTATAACCGACTTCGGTAATTTTTACCGAAATCTGAACAGCTGAACTTTTCGGTAAAATTTATGCAATTCAATTCAATTGGTTTTTAGCTACTTTGAAACTAAATCTCCACTAAAAAGACAAGATTTGATCATTTAAACAAGGTTGAACATGTTTTGATATTATTTTCAAATTCAATAGCCTTTAAAATGAAGGTCAAAGTTTTACGGAACGTTCAGCTGTTTTGATTTTGGTAAAATTTACCGAACATGGAAACAAAATCTTAGTGTGTATGCCTCAGAACATCCCGGCGGCGCCGACTGGGATTTAACCTGGGATGAGAGGTAATCACGCAGAAATAACTTACGGAAAATGATCCAGAGTTATGGGAGAAAGTAGTTTGGTCTCCTAGTAGTCCCGATGTCAATCCTCTAGACTACTTTGTGTGGGGCATCGTAGAACGGAATACCAATAGAGCACCTCACATAAC